AAGAGTTGTTGCTCGTTCCCTTTCATCTACCGGAATTTTTTTATTTAGCCACTCGTTTGTATTTACCATTGTTATAAACTGTTAAAAAAATCAATGAATCTTTTAAAAATAAATTAATTATTTTCATTCTTAAATAATATTAACGTGCATCAATTTTTATTAAATGCGCATCCAAAAGAACGTATTTTTTTTTAACGTATTATTATGAAATTCAAAATTTATAAATTATTGCAAATAAACAATACAAAAAATTAATCGTAAACGTTAAAGAAAAGTTCTGTAAGTTCCAACGTAAACATAGTCCCGAAACGCATGACAGTATTTACAGCAATTGCAGAATCCTAGTACGTGCATTCCCAAATATAAAGAAATAAAATCTTGCTTTGTCTAGAAGCACTTGTTTCTGCGAGTGCTACAAACCAAACCTGTTAATGAAAAAAAATCATCATTTAATATAAATAATTTCTATAAAATTAATATAAACTATTTGTCACCTCAGGTTTTTTACATTGTAATTTACGGTCCAATACTTACGGTTTTAATTTGACCATGCTCATATATAATTAGTCACATTTCCCTTTTCACACTTACAGTGGAACTTGAGATACTTATATGTAATACGTTAAAAACCATAACCACATTACCTTGGTTAAATTGCCACCTAAAATAAAATCAAATTATTTCGAAATAAAAATTTTGGTTTGTATTTTGTAATTAGATTAGGATTCAAAAGTCTATTTATACCAAAATTTTTTTAAAAAACTCGACCAATGGTCGAGTTGTAACAATAATTCTTCTCCAGAGTTAGCTTCAAAATGTCACTTTCATGTTGATATTAGGGTTAGTGTAAAGATTAGTGTTTGAGAATGGTATCATATGTGTCATGTATAGTAAAATTTCTTAAAAAATCTTTTTTTTTTTAGTGCACAATGGACAGTTTTTTAATCGAAGTTTGGAGAACTAAGCGATTTTGGATAAAACAGATATTTGTTGTAAGCCGGTGTTACAACAAAATTTTGTCACATGTATCGGAAGGACTTAAATTAGCATTTCTCCCGGATGGATGGACTGTATAATCAGAGGAGGAAGATCACTGGATCATAAAATGTTCCTTTGTACATTTGCTCATATATGTTTCTTTCCGCTTGCAAGAATAGAAGATGGAAGCCCTTTGAACTCTTCTCATAATAAAGAGATAAATTAAGTAGACTTAAACATTCAATCGTCCTATGAACACCTTTGTACACTATACAATCCTAATTATTATTTTTAACCAATCTGCTACATTAATTATTTTATATAATTCATATACAATTTAAATAAAAAATTAAAACTTTTTTTAAAAAAAATTCTATAAATTGACTAAAATACCCCTTTTTAGTTTGAAAAATTCGTCACTAAGACATGCATATAATTCGAAATCTCTTTGAAACAATTTCTGATAGTTTAAAATTGTGACAAGTAGTTTAAAATTACTTTTAAATGTTTGATACAACCTCCCACCATTTACTAAATTATATATACATAAAAGCAAGAATAGTGATGATATACAAAAAGAAATAATAAAATATAATATCAGAAGAGAGAATATTAACACATAATTGAAAAAACTGAAGGATAGATAACTGATAATAATATTAACAAAATAAATAAACTGCGTGTGCTTGTTACGATGCTTTCTGAGAGCCGTCCATATAGTATTCATCCTTTAATACATGACAGCTCGAGAAACGAAACTCATATACATTGACTGAAATAATGATCCGAATCTATGATTAATATTAATATCAAATAATAATCACTACTTCAAATAATGTATATTCATTTACCAGTTTTGTATCAATCAACTGCGTTTTCTCATATAACTGATAACAATCATTTAACGATATTATTTAATTGGGTTTCCAACTCATTAATTTCTGCTCTTTTACCCAAAATATCTTGGATTTCTTCATCAGTTAGCACCTCAGCTAATTTTTTTTTACATTTTTCTAATTGTTTACGAGCATAAGTGCTGTTATTCTGTAAAACTTCTTGATGTGCTTCTACTAAATTTTCCAACCACAACTGATAATTTTCATCCAGATTACTTTTAGCAGCATCTAATGTGTAATTAAAATTCTCCTCTTCTATTTTCTTAAGCTCCAATTTTAAATCACCGAGATTAATGACTTTAGTATCTTGGATCAAACTAGTTAATCTTTCTACTTAATTTTTTATTACACTATCACAAAAAATAAGCTGTTTGTTGCCAACGAAATTAGTGCATTGCAATTTTGGTTTACTACCTAAACTTAAATAACCAAGCGTTGTATGATTAATCGTAATTTCAGTTAACTTAATACATTTATCCACCTTCAACTTAGTTAACTTTTGTTGCTGTTCCTTGTTTTGCTCAATACCTTCAATATATAGTACTCGCAAATTAACAAAGTCATTAAGATCTAGCTCTCCTTCCAAAATAACATTACAAAAACAATAATCTGGAGCGGTGTAACAATTATTTTGATCTT